AGGAAGAGTAACACAAGTTCAAAACCAGCCTGATCTACATACTGAGACCTTGGAAGGAAAGAAAGAAAGAGAGAGGAAAGAAAGAAAGAAAGAAAGAAAGAAAGAAAGAAAGAAAGAAAGAAAGAAAAGAAGGAAGGAAGGAAGGAAGGAAAGAAGGAAAGAAAGGCAGAGAGGAAGGGAAGGTGGGAAAAAAGGAAGGAAAAGGAGGAGGTAGGCAGAGACCATGGGCCCTATGGGACAGGACAGAGACATTAGAACCATGGACGGAGGCAGGGAGGGGTCTCATCTTTGGGTCTCAATCTTTCTTCCCTGACATAGGAGCTATGTATTCTGTGTATGCCTGTATCAGAACACCATGTGTGCGTGCGCGCGCGCGCGCGCGCGCTCGCGTGTGTGTGTGTGTGTGTGTGTGTGTGTGTGTGTGTGTGTGTATGTGTCTATGTGGTGCCTCCTGAAAGTGTTCTGGGTGCAGGTGGCAAAATACAAGTGCCTTTATTTTTTCACTTGCTTGTGGGTGGCTGCACAAGCCACAGTGTGGTAGGAATGGTAGACGGGGTAGTCAGAAAGATAGCACACAAACACTCCAGGGCTACACGGGAGCCATGTGACAGGAGCTCTTAGGCAAGTTGTGGAAGGCTGCTCAGCAGAACCCTGGACAAAAAGAGCCAGCCCACAAAGACTAGGGGTAGACCTTTCCAGACAGAGAAAAAAGCAGGTGGAAAAGTCATGTGTCAAGCCAATGTGGTAGAATTCAGGGTTGAGAAAGGAAGTGGAGGTACAGCTTGGAGGGTGAAGTGGCAGGCCAGAAAGCAGAGGCTAGATCACAAAGGACTTGGTAATGTTGACAGAAAGATTTGAGTTTTATTCTGGGTATATAATGAGACCTGGAAAGCAGCCAATAGAGGCTAGGAAGGAGCTTCCAGTCTACTGGGCCGGGGTCAGAGATGGCGTTAGTGGACTGTGAGCAGCAGGGCAGAGAGGCTGGGAGCTCTTGCAAGGGTTCTGGCAAAAGGTGCTGGTGCTGGTGGCTTGAGCAAGGGTGGTAACTGGAAGTGTGGGAGAAGTGGACAGATGTAACCTACATTGGGGTAGAGGTGACAAGAGTGGATGGGGGAGTGGGGAGCAGGAGTCTGAGCAGTGAAATGAATTATGGTGGCATTTACCAGGATGAAGAAGAAGGAGAGGCAGAACTGTGACGACCAATCAATCAGGTGTGATATGTCCCTGGGTGTGTATGCATCTGTGTGCATCTGCACAAGGATCCAGGTGTGTGTGTGTGTGTGTGTGTGTGTGTGTGTGTGTGTGTGTGTGCGCATGTCTGGTTCAGGACTCCTGTACAAGACTAAGACATCTGGATCACCTCTGCTTGGATGTGTAGGGGCTCCTGGGTCTGCTCTAGGACCAGGCTGTCTTGGCTCTTTACTCTCCCTCAGCCCCAAAGACTGCCCCTGCCAGGCGGGGATTCCCAGCTGGGGTAATGGGAGGGCCCTTGAGCATTGCCAACATCTGTGTGTGTTAGTCCAGGCCCAGGAGGTCTTTGTGGCCCCACCCAGCAGCAGCAAGCAGGCTCCAGGGCAGCTGGTGGTGATTAGCAGCATTGATTGCCTCGGGCGACGCCATCTGGGGTGAGGGCACTGAGCCTGGCCCCATGGAATACCCTGCTTGCTGGCATGTAGGGCTTTCTGGGGCCGAGTGCATGCTAATGTGTCCACATAGCTGTACATATGTATGTGTGACAGTGTGTGCATGTCTGCTTGCATAGCTGAGTAATTATGCCTGTGGACACAGGCCTGTGTTTCTATGTGTATGTCTTTGTGTACACGTCTATGGATGTGCAGTCAAATCTATATGACACTTTTTTTTCAATACTGGGCACATATCCTACCATTGAACGAATGCCCCAGTCATTTAAACACTACTTTGAGGGGCTGGAGCAATGTCTCAGTGGTTAAGAGCACTGGCTGTTCTTGTAGAAGACTTGGGTTCAAATCTCAGCACCCACATGATGGCTAACAACCTCCCGTAACTCCAGTTCCAGGGGATCCGATGCCCTTTTCTGTCCTCCATAGGCATTGCACTACACGGGTGTACTTAAATACATGCAGGCAATACACTCATACATATGAAATTTTAAAAAACTACTTTGAGATAGGGTCTGGCCTTGGACTTGCTTCACACTCCTCAGTAGCTGGGGGTACACCTCCCCACAGAATACCATATACATTTTGAGATGTACCTCTTTGTGTTCGAATGTGTCCTGACATCTAATCCTATGGGGTTACATCTGTCCTACGAAAGATGTGCTGTGTGTGTGCACATATCTGTGTGAACAAGACTCCAGATGCATGAGGGGCGGGTACACATAGGGGCTGTGTGAGAACCTATATGGCTATGTGCCCATGTGTCAGAGTTAAGAAGGGATGTCAGTATGTGAGACTGATGGTGGACCTAGGCAGAGGGTGTGACCTAGGTTTCTTAGGGGCACATTTGGGGTGCCATCGAAAGGCCTCTGGATACCTCCTTTCTCAGATTCCTGCATGTGAAGTTTTAATTGCTCTGGCCTAGTCACCACCCATCTGGGGCATGAATGAGTGAAGATGGGGAGTGGCCAGAATGCCACAGAGTGGTAGCCTGTGTTGTTTAGGTTTACTGGCCGTGGTCTCCACTCCACTTACCCATGGGCTGTGTGATGCTGTACAAGTTGTGTTGTTCCTTTGCTCTGGGTTTCCCTTCAGCAAGATGGGGATAAGTATAGAGACTGACTTGTGTTCTTTCCTTTTCCTGTGCTCTCAGAGCTGGTGGTACTGCAGGAGTAAACCTGACTATGCCTGCCAAGGCCTCCTTCTGAAAGCCCCACCCCCTGCACTTCCTTCCTGCTGAGCTCAGCACTTCCCAGGCTCCACCACTGCCATCACCACATCTGGGCCCAGGCCCAGCACAGGGACCACAATGCAGAGCCTTCGTGGCCGTGGTCGGGGTTTCCACTGACTCAGTGCCTCTAGGGCTGGAGGTGGGAAACCCCAGGCCTGTTAGCCCCCTGTCTGGGTCAGCTGAGACCACAGGGTTACAGCTATATGGCCTGCTCCAATAGGAAGCCCATGCCTACAAGACAAGGCATTCAGCCGCTCCCCCTCCATCCCCCACATCCACCATACCATTCATGGGACTCTTAAACCCATTTCCTGTGGTTTTCTTTCCTTGGTGCTAAGAAATTTGTTTGCTGTGTCTAGGGAGAGATCCTTGTGAGGGGGATTCATCCAGTCTACCTCCCCTGACCTCAACAGAACTGACCTGTCTCTTCCTCCTCTGAAGTCCAGTTGTTCATCCAATCTCAATTCCTTTTGCTTCTTTAGACACTGTGTATAAAGCATCCCCTCCCCATCACTGTTGAATAAGTTTAACTCCTATTCCCCATCCTCCACCCACTCCATCTTCTGCCAGGGATCCCCAAAATAATGAAAACAGCAGCAAGCATCTCTCCTTTTGCATTCCAAGACCATGTCTAAGCGTTTCTACAGACATTAATGAATTTCCTTTAACAAAATTATACCAGACAGATGCTGTCATCTTATCTCACAGATGTGCAAGTGGAATTAGAGGTAAAAAGTAGATTTTATCCAGGCCTGATATGCAAGTCTTAATCCCAACTACTCAGGAGGCTGAGGCAGGAGGATTGAAATTTCTAAGCCTGCTTCTGCTACAAAGCAAGTTCAAGACCAGCCTAAGCAACTGAGTGAGACCTTGTTTCAAAACAAGAAGTAAAAAGTCAGCCTGGGGAGGTGTTGGGGGATGGCTCAGTTGGTAGAGTGCTTGCCATGCAAGCCTGGGAACTTGAGTTTGGACCCCCAGCACCCACATAAAAACTGGATATTGCAGGGTGTGCATGTAATCCCAACATTAGAGAGGTGGAAACAAGTGAATCCCTGGAGCTCATTGGCCAGCTGGTCTGACTGAATTGGTAAGCTCCAGGTTCAGTGAGAAACCCTATCTCAAGGTCAAGGGGCTAGAGAGATGGCTCAGCCATTAAAAGCACTTGCTGCTCTTGCAAAGGACCCAGGTTCAGTTCCCAGCATCTACATGGCCACATACAACTCCTGTTCCAGGGGAATCCAACACCCTCTTCTGACCTCCGTGGGCATTGAACGACATGGGTGCACTTACATACATGCAGGCAATACACTCATACACATAAAAAACACATAATAAATAAAAAATAAGATAGTGAGTGTAGAAGACAGTTGATGTTGACCATTGGCTTCCACACACACATACATACATGCACATGTACACCTGCACAAACACATATCACCGTACCCCTCTCTCTCTCTCTCTCTCTCTCTCTCTCTCTCTCTCTCTCACACACACACACACACACACACACACACACAAGAGGGATGATGGGGGTGTAACTTAGTGGCAGAACATTTGCCTAGGTTCAATACAAAAAAGTCCAGGGGTTGGTAAGATGGCTCATCTAGGAAAGGTGCTGCTGCTAAGCCTGAAGACTTTAGTTCCAACCCAGAGACTCATGTGGTAGGAGAAAATTGTCTCCTGAAAATTGTTTTCTGGCATCCACATGTGTGCCATGGCATGCATACACACACTGGAGCAGGGATGGGGGGGGGCTTCCAATTTTATGAGAGTCCAAGGAGGAGCAGGGGGGATTGGCTGGATTCCACTTCTGTAGGAATGAAGGCAGAGCATTAGGGGTTAATCTAGCACAGGGGTTGGAAGGGGATTCTGTCCTCCCCCAGCGCAGAGGGACTGGAAAAAGCTGACCACTGAGGCTTGATCAGCAGCCACGTCATGGGTTCCACAGGTCTTGGAGGAGGGACCCCTCATTTCTGGGGTTCCAGCCAGGGAAGAGAAAGGGGGGGTACAGAGGAGGCCCTCCAGGCCTGGCTCTTGCTGCGCTGCAGGCGCCCCTTCTAGGGCAGCTCCGGGCACGCAGGGTCCCGCCTCCCTCCTGCTCGCTGGCTCACCTGGCTTGGGAAGTGGGAGAGGCGGGCCCGGCGCTCGGCCAGGCCAGGAGCTGGGCTGTGCGGCCGAACAGCCTGCGCCTCCGCCGCCACCCGGCCCTTCCAGCCTCCCTCCTCCTCCAGCCTGGCGGGCCGGCCCAGCTGTGTTCCATTAGCCTCCTGGCAGCCCCCCAGCCCCCTGGAACCGCCCCTCTTCCCCCTCCCGCGGTGACCGGTCCCGGCAGGCGTGCGCCGCGCTGCACTCATCCGACAGAGCTCCAGGCGCCGGAAAGCTGGGGGCGCACGGCCCTGCAGGGAGAGATCGAGAACCCCCCACGGGGCTCCCGGACCCCAGGTCCTGCTTCCCCTGGCTGGCCGTCCCAGGGCTGCCAGGATTGCTCAGTGAGGGCCTCCCCAGCCATTGGTAAGTGGGCAAGGACTAGGCTGCTTGCCTCCTCTAGGCTGAAAGGGCCCTTTCTGCCCACCACTTGCTGTGTGACCTGGGGCAAGTGGCATCCCCTCTCTGGGGCTCAGTCCTCTTCTCTACAGCAAGATAAGCTGGAAACCCAATCCTGGTCTTGTTGTCTCTGTCTTCATCTGTGCCTGTGTTGAGGGGGGCGGGATCTCTTTACAAGCATCTCTCTAGCTATCTTTATAGGCCCCACTCAGACTGAGGCCTGAGAGTGGAGGCCGGGGACTGGGAACAGAAAGCTAACAGCACATCCATGTTCATGCCTCCACATGCACCCTCATGTGGCCAGCAGCCGGAAGCCCTTCCATTGGCTGATAAGAAGGGAAGCCCATGGTAGGGTTTGAAAGTGGAACTTGCTTTCCTTTAGGATGGGGACACAGTTCCATCCCAGGGAGAAGGGAGCTGGAATCCAACCCCCAAATATATTGGAGGAAGGGGTTCTTTCATTGCCTACCCAAGATTGAGGGAACGAAAATGATTCCTCTAGAAGGAATGGGATTAGACTTGCATAAGAACTTCCCAACAGGAAGGCCTCCTGGAGGGCTGGTGGTCATAGGCTGACTCTGTGCATGTGTGTATATGTGTCATATCTCATGTTTCTGTGAGCATATCTGTGTGCAGCTAGGTGTGATTGCTTGTAGAGTTGCTACATATGTGTCTGTGCCCCTGTGTTGTGCTGACACACACATGGCCCTGCGTACTCATGAGCTGCCTGTCCTAGAAGAGGCCAGATGATATATGACTCTGCTGGCCACTTGCTGAGCCTGCATTGATTTATCTGGGCCCATCCATCAGGGTTTAATAAAACTAAAAGACAAGTATCCATCAGCAAGGGAAGTTGTCAGTAAGGTGCTGAGCCCTGGTGACCTGCTCTCCTGCCCCCTGTACACAGAAGGGGAAGCTGCTTTGGCCCCCACACAGCTCTGTGATGCCTGCCAAGAGATTCAGCCTGGCCTTGTGGGTGCCTAGCAGGGCTACCTGAGCTGAGCTGGGTACAGCTTGACAGGTACCGGGCTGCTATGTGCCACACAGTGCAGGAGTTGTTAAAGTTCTGGGATGCATCCAGGCATTTTGATACATAGCCTCTGCTCAGGCTCCCTCACTATCCCACGTTCCTGTGGTCTTCTAGGACCCTCTAGACCTCTTCTCAACCCAGCAGCTTAACCCCCGGCACAGCCAGATGCATCCTGAGTCCTGTTTGCATGCTCTAGCCAGCCTTCTGCTCTGGCTGGTGGGTGTCTGTGCCATACCGGTGGTTAAATATTTTCATTAGCACCCCTGCCCAGATTCTTGCCCCAGGCCTGTGTGGGGCCCTTCAGACGGACTGATGCCTGGCTAGACCTCTTGCCACTGTAATCCCTGGTGTCTAGGACCCATACACAGCTATGACTTAGCCAGGTATACAGCTGTCTTGTGGGTATTTCGGAGCCTATCTTCTGTCTCTGGTTTTTAGGCACTGTGGCTGCAACTGATCCCTTGGGGTCAGTATGTGGGCATCCTGGGCTCCTGGCCTGTGCCTGCTCGGACTCTGGACTACTTTCAGCCATGGGGCAAATCCAGGTGAGACACAGGTCTGCATTTTCCTCTGATTCTCTGAGGTACTAGGGTCTTTGCACATATATGACCAGGTAGGACCCAGTCATGTGGACGTTTGGGTCTGGGCTCGTGGTGGCCTGAGATGCTTTCACACTTGAGCCCATGGAGTGAGCTGGCATGTGTGTTGGCTTGTCTTTGAGCATCCCTGGGTTTGTATCTTGGAGCAACTCAGTGTTTGAATGTACTCCTGAGTCTCTGTTATGGGGAGAACAGGCCCTATCCACAGCACAAGCCAATCCTTATACTTCTTGACCACCAGCAGGATGGGGAGGAATGGGAGCTACACTGTCCCTTCAGAAGGCAGTGCCTCCTGAAAGCTGCTGAGCCCCTTGCTCCTTCTCAGGGTGATGACTCCATCCTCCGACCACAGGCTCCTCCTACACACTAGCCTGGGTCTCCAAGGCCCAGACTCTGGATAGGGAGAAGGCACAGCTTTCCAGGAACCAATGCCAGGGGAAGTTGACCAGGCAACCTGCCCAGCCTTTTGAGGTGTCCTCTGGACTCAGTAGTTGTACCTCCTAGCCAGGCAGGAGCAGAACTCCTAAAACCCATGTCCAGGCAGCCAAGAGAGGCAGGAAGACCATGCACTAAAGCAAAGCAAGAGGGGCTATGCATTCAGGGTGCACATGTGTGTTTCTGTGTGAGGGAGAATTTTTGCTAGGTTCCTTGGGGGGCTGGGGCAGAAGATTTCAACATCTGTAAGGAATCTGGGCCCATTGCCAAGGGTGAGTCACCCACTCCTGCTGTGAGGCTGAAGTCAGAAAAGGTCTTTCCGGCCAGACCTGAGGGTGGAGATTCCAGTGGGTCACTGTGCCCAGGGACATAGGGCTCTCCTTTCAGCCAGGCTGGGTAGGGAGTTGGCTATCTTGAGAGATGACTTGACTAGCTTGGCCCAGCGTCCCCATCTATCTCACTGGGATAGCCTTTTTGATCTTAGCCTCTGTCTCTTTGATGTAGCACAGTTGTCAACACTTCTCATGGGAAGAGAAACACAGCCCCAGGAAAAGAGGTCTATAGCCACCAACTTGTCCCCTTGGGGCTTTGGAGATCTGTGCTTTTGTCCGGGAAACCATACCCTCTTAATATGCCCTGCCTAGGGTCTAAAACTCTGGTGGTATCCTTGAGTTTGTGGTCCCCTCAGCCCTTCTATCTCTTCTCCCTGTTACACTAGGTGGATATGCAGGTGAAAAGTCATTCTGTTAGCTCAGACTTGTATCTAGCTTGTTTGTCAGCTTTGGATATGGGAAGTGGAACTCCACCCTTTACAGAGGACATGTATACTAGTGCACATGGCAGTCCTAAAGGCACAGTTATGCACAGTTCATTCATGTACAGTCATGTTTGTGCGGTTGCACATAACACCACATGTGCGTGAAGCTGACATTCCTTCCTCCTGCAGGGCTCCTCTGCTTTCTACCTAGGCATGCCTCATGTACATGCATATACATGCTTCATCACTGTCTGGATTCTGGACTACCCAGGGTCTCTTTCACTCCCTCCCTTGTTAGCCTGGCCCTGGTTGCAGGTGTTGGGAGATGGGGGTTCCTGGGGCTCTGGTCTTGTGCTGCTGTTGACTTACTCAGCCCCGGGGCCAACTCTCTTCCAGGTGAGCAGTGCCCGTCTTCACAGCAAGAAGGACTCAAGCTGGAACACAGCAGTGACCTATCGGCCAATGTCACTGGTAAGTGCAGCCTCCACCTGCTGCCCCGTCTTCCCCCAGTGACATGCATTCCTTGCCTGCCCACCTGAGCCCTTCCTCTGGTGTCTCCCCCAAAGGCTTCAACCTCATCCGCCGACTGAACCTCATGAAGACATCTGCCATCAAGAAGATCCGTAACCCCAAGGGGCCACTCATCCTGAGGCTGGGGGCTGCCTCGCTCACCCAGCCCACACGGTAAAGGTCTTGGGGTGACCACTTGGAATCCACACTGACCTCAGCCATACCCGTGCAACTCCTGATGTGGGGCCCAGCCCCAGGACCTCTCTAGGGGTCATTTTATGCATCCTCCAGCCAGAAATCAATCTACTCTCTACCTCTGGGCTTGCAGGGTGGGCTCTGTATGTGGTACCTGGCATCCCCAGCCCAACTCTGTTTGGCAGTGGGCAGGACCAGGTTTACATCCTCTGGGTGCCATGGGACTCCCAGGATGGTGGTGAGAGCCTGTCCCTGCATGGGTGTGCCCTCCTGTGAAGTCCAGATCCCAGCATCCCCCGGGTGGGTCTGGCCCCTGCTTACTAAATGTTCCTCTTCCTTCTTGCTGCTCTGTTCATGTAGAACCCCATTCATCTTTTTCTGAGCATCTCTTCTTCTAGCCCTGGTCTACCTGCCATGATGGCCTCCTTGGAAGCCCCCTGCCAAATTCTAATGTAGTCCTGAGATGGTAATCCAAGGATTCTCTGTTAATGTTCCTCACCTCATCAGACTCCAGGGGACTCCATGGGAACAGGCATCTTCTATGTATATTCCCCACTGGCCTCCCCAGCAGCCAGCCAGCCCTTGGTATCTAGAAGGTGCTCAGTGAGCATGTCATAATGAATGTGTGCATGGGTTTAGAGGTGTGTGTCCTGAGAGCCACTGTGCTCAGGCCTGGGCATCACTGAGCACCCACCCTCTCTGCTCCATTGCAGACGGGTGTTTCCTCGGGGCCTCCCAGAGGAGTTTGCCCTGGTCCTGACAGTCCTACTGAAGAAACACACCTTCCAGAATACATGGTACTTGTTTCAAGTGACCGATGCAGATGGGTACCCACAGGTGAGTCCCTCCCCAACACCAAGTCCTTAGCATCATGCTTCCATCCAAGCTTGTGGTTGCTAGGGCCTCCCTGCTCCATCCCATGTCTACCCTGAGACCATGCCTAGCCACCAGTAGCCATCTCATCCTTTCAGGATGCACTGCTTGGTGACCCCAGCCAGCTTTCTTCCTTTTCTAGGCCTCAGTTTCCTTTCCTGTGGCATCAACTTGAGGTTCTTGGCTTTTGCCATGTCATGGCTCTGGATCTCTGAATCTCTGTCCTTTTCTCTTTTCCAATGTGCCACAGATTTCCTTGGAAGTCAATAGCCAGGAGCGGAGTCTGGAGCTCCGTGCACGGGGACAGGATGGAGACTTTGTGTCCTGCATCTTCCCAGTGCCCCAGCTCTTTGATTTGCGTTGGCACAAGTTGATGCTGAGTGTGGCAGGACGTGTGGCTTCCATGCATGTGGACTGCATCTCAGCCTCCTCTCAGCCTCTGGGGCCCCGGCGACCCATGGGGCCTGGAGGCCACGTGTTTCTGGGCTTAGATGCTGAGCAGGGCAAGCCTGTCTCGGTGAGTGCTAGACTGGGGTCTAGCCTCTGCTCCTACCTTGGGGAGTCTGTGTCTGACTAGACACTTCCTGTGCTCAGAGACCTCCTTTGCACCCTTTGCTCTCCATATGCAGCCTAAATGTGCTAACCTGGCACCTAGCCCTCCATAATCTGGGTCCCCCACGAGCCTGCAGCAGCTCCTTCCTTCCATTTTTCCATGCAGTTCCCCTCTGGTCAATTCCAACTTAGTCTGCTGGATCACCTACTATGTTTGCATGTTTGTGTCTTTGCTAATGCTGGCCACTCTACCTGTAGTGTTTTTCCTTGCATATTCATCTGCTGACTAGGCCCAGCTTGAATGGAGCCTACTCTTCCTCCCTGCCGCCCACCTCGTTCTGCTTTTGGTGACCGCTCTATTCTTGATCGTCTCCCCGGCCAGCCTGGAAAGACCCTAAAGTCAAATCCTGGGGTGAAGACATCTTTGAGCCTCTTTGGGGGCCGACACAGAATTATTTGATCATCAGAAATAAAATGAACTGGTGTGTTCCCTGCAGTTTGACCTTCAGCAGGCACATATCTACTGTGACCCAGAGCTGGTGCTGGAGGAGGGCTGCTGTGAGATCTTACCAGGAGGGGTGAGTGGCCCACCTAAGCACATGCTGTGTTGGAGAGGGGGCAGCCTTCAACGGGATGGTGGAGGTCTCAGGATGCATGTGTCTTTTTACTGACCCTGGCCTTTCCCCCATACTGAGCAGTGTCCCCCAGAGACCTCCAAGGCTCGCCGGGACACCCAGAGCAATGAGCTTATCGAGATCAATCCTCAGATGGAGGGCAAGGTCTACACTCGCTGCTTCTGTCTGGAGGAACCTCAGAACAGCAAGGTGGGTGGGCAGGATGGTCCCACCCCTGACCTGGTTGAGGCCAGCCACCAGGCTCAACTGGCCTTGTGCCCAGAGTGAGGAAGAGCCCTGGGTGCTAGGTCAACTTGTATTTTACCCTATGGGACTCAGAGGGGCAGAAAGAGGGTCCATGGAGTGACCCTGTGCCTGCTACCTGTCAGCATTGAGCATTAAGCCCCTCTAGCTCTGGCTTTGCCAAGACTCTCACTAATGCCACATAGACCCTCCTGTGGAGGGCAGGACCCCATGTACAGTTTCTCTTGGACAGGTATACCTGGGCCCAGAGCCCTGGTTGCACTGTTTTGCCGAGGGCTTGCTCATTAGCCCAGCACCATGGCCAGCTTCCCTGTCCACTCCTGGGTTCTTTGGAGGTGGCAGGGAAGCCCTATCCTTTCCTTAGCCCCACTTTGGCTGGGTAGTGTCCCTGCCCACTTGGCATCATGCCGGCCTTTGGCTGCAGGAACACAAGATCCCATTGATTCACAGCCTGTTTTCTCCGACATCACATGGGTAGAGGGAAAAGAAGGGGCAGACGCCTGTGAGGGCAGCCTCAGGGGCCTGAGCAAGCCCTTGATGTCCTGAGAGGTACCAAATGCCAGGGGGTACCTGGGGGTCCACGTGTTCTGCCTGAATTCCCCTTTCACCCCTCTGTCTGCCCAGGTGGATGCACAGCTGATGGGAAGAAGCAGCCAGAACACAGAAAGACAGACAAAGGTAGAGATGGTAGGTGGGGGGAGGAGCCCATGGTGCTCTCTTTCTGCGCCGTGTGCCCTCTATAAAGCCCTCAGAGAAGACACTGCACTCCTATTCTCATCCTGCCTGGACAGAGCTGGGTTATGTGATGCCAGCTCTGAGAGGGAAAACAGATGGGGTGGGACAGACAGTGCTGGGCTTTCTCTAGAGAGTTGGCTCCTGCTGGCTCTTGGGCAAAGGGTTGGAGCATTGCTTGATCCTGGGTTCCCCTTCCACTCCTATGCCCCTCTCTTCCCAGGCCCACCGGGAGACAGCAGCTGATGAGGTGAGCCTCCTGTCTGAACTGGCCAGGGGACTCTGGGGAGGGTGTGTCAGCACAAACACTTTGGATAAGGCTTTGGGGCATGGAGCCTGGGCATGGGGGTGATGGATGACTGTGCAGCCCCCAGCATTCCTTTGGGACCCAACACTGGACCCTGTCTGCCCTGGATTGTAGGGTGGAAACTCTGGAGGACATTCCTGCTGAGGTGGAAGCCAATGGCCATGAGCATCATGGGAAATATCCAGGCTTTAGTCATGGGACCCTTCACAGACATGCTGTGTGGCCTGGGGCTCACTACTGTTCCTTTCTGGGCTTTAGTTTTCTCATCTGGAAAATGGCTCTAGGTCTGGGTGGGTGAGAAATAAGGGGCAAGGCTTTTGTGTGCTTTCTGGGATCACACTGAGGACTTGTACCATGCAATTTGGGCTCTCTCTCTTTCTCTTTGTGTCTCTCTCTCTCTTTGTCTTTCTCTGTCTCTGTCTCTCTCTGTCTCTTTTCTCTGTATATGTGTGTGTGCGTGTCTGTGTTGGGCTGGGATGGAGTGGAGGGCTGATTCCAGAGGCTCAGAATTGACTTGCAAGTCTGTTCTTCCTTTCCAGTGCCCACCCTGTGTCCATGGTGCCCCAGTGAGCAATGTGAGTAGATGGAGGGGTGAAGGCAGCATGGGCATGGTCTGGGTGTGGATGTTGCCTGGAGTAGGCTGGAGCTTCCTGGTTGAGGACAAGGGGGGCTTTGTGCACTTTCCCGCTCCTGCCAGACTCCTAGGCTTGTCCCCCATCCCCATGCCTGCCAAATCAGGGGTGCACAGAGGACAGCTTTGGCCCTGAGATCTTGGTGGAATGTTACCATTCAGGGCATCATGGAATGGGTGGTGGCCATGTGGAATCGGGACCCTGGTTGCTGATTCCAGCCTAGCCCTCCCTTCTAGATTTCAGACCCCCTTTGCTTGGAAGGCACCACATGTCACCTCGGGAAAAACAGCTCAGGGTTGCACGGCCCTGCACTGATCCCCAGAACCACACATAGCTCAGGGCCTAAGCAGTCTCCCTTTCTCTTCCTTGTTAGCTAGTCTAACCCAGCCCCCCTCCAGGGTCTGGAAGGCCAGAAGTTGGGGTTCAGTGTAAACCAGCTGGTATCCACTGTGCCTCTTCCATGGGCAGCATGAGTTACCATGTTGTGCGCCAATATGCTGCTTTGGCCGGCAAAGGACATAAGCTCCCTGGCTTTGGGGGAACAGAAGTACTCCTACTTCTATCTGTTGCTCTTTCCATCCAGTACCCCCTAGATGTGAAGAGGTTGTCATGGCAACTAAGCAGCCATGTTAGCCTAACAACTGGGGCCAGGGCTAGGCTAAGGCAGGCTGATTAGAGAAAGTAACTTAGACCCTACTGCTGGGTTTGCATCCTTGGGAAATAGAGTTAACATGCTGACTGGCCCAGGAGGCAGAACAGGGGCTGGGATTCAGAACAGGTGGTTGGTCCTGGCCTCACGCTGTGTGAGCCTAATGGACTTGCCTGCCCTCTCTGGGACCCTGGTTCCCTCTTGCTCCCTGATGTGCAATGTTCTCTTATCTCTTCTGTTCTCTTAGGTGACCCTTGGTCCCTCTGGCCCCAAGGTAATTCCTGGCAGAGAAAAGAATTCTTCTGACCTCTTTGGTGGCTTCAGTTCATCCTATAGCATGTGACCCTGAGGTCACATGTTTATATCAGGACTACCTGAATGTTTTTAAGTGTGGAGCCGTTGAGTGTCTGTGTGTCGAAGAGAACAGGCTGTGCGTGTATGGAGTCAGTGCTGTCCTTCTCTGAGGCCCTGCTGTGCGCACCTACCACTTTCTTGGGCCCCCCACAATGCTCATCCTCCTGTAGCATCAGCGCTCTCATTTTACTTAGGGGGAAGTTGAGGGCTTGCTGTGCCATATATGGGTCATAGAATGTTTCAGAGTGATTGTGTGGGGGTGTGGCTGTGTATTCAAACACACGTCTGCATATATATGATACACAGGCTGAGAGTTGAACACATATACACTATGGGCCTAATGGGCCATAAGGCTTGTGAGTGATGGGGTGAGCATGGCACATGCAGGCATGTGCTGTGCTTTCATGGACTTGTTGTGTGTAGACTACCTAGCCCTTGCCTACAGCACTCCCCATCTTTCTCAAACAGCACCTATAGATAGGTGCTGACATGGATTCCATTTTATTGATGGGGAAGCTGAGGCTCGGAGAGGTGACATAACTTCTTCTGAGTCTCATGTTAGCAAGCATAAGGCTTGTGCTCAGACAGCTTGACACAGCTGCCATGGGTTCATCTCATGCTGCATGTCTGTGCACATGTGTCCCTGTGTCCTGGATATGCTGCATGTGAGCTGGTGTGCATGCTTGTGGGTGTGGAGGAAGGGCTACCTTCTGCATGAAACCATAGGTTTGCCAAACAGCCTTTTTGTGTATATGGTGCATGGTTGGGGGTGTGCATGGCAGCACATTTGCATGGTAGATAGATAGAGGTGACCAGGGTTGGGGAGCACTTCCCGGAGGCTCCCTCATGGTACCTCCAGGCCCAGTCGTCACCCTGGTTTCACCCACAGGGAGGGAAAGGTGAGCAAGGCCTGCCTGGTCCATCAGGCCCAAAGGGAGAGAAGGGAGCACGGGTAAGTGTCCGGGCCGAGTCCACCACAGGGTCTGTCCCAGCTAGCCCTGGGGCTTGGGGCAGGGGGTATAAGCCAGTATCCCATCAATGTGAAGCCTGATCAAATGGGGGATGGTGCAGGGTCCTTCAGGGGTTAGTGTGTGGAAGCCTGGTTTCTATAGACACCTGGGCCTCTCCTAGCAACAGGTTTTGGGTGACTCCCCCAGGAAGCCTCAGCCCTCACCCCTGTTCCTTACTCACAGGGTAATGACTGTGTTCGAGTCTCCCCAGATGCCCCGCTTCAGGTAAGACTAGGAGGTGACGCCTGCTTTAGGGCTGAAGCAGGGCTGGCCCTGGACCTTTCTCAACACCATCTCTCCCTATTCAGTGTACAGAAGGCCCAAAAGGAGAGAAAGGGGAGTCAGGAACTTTGGTGAGCCTGGGACACAGTAGGGCAGGGGTGGTGGGTCCTGGTCAGCCTTGCCTCTCTCTTTTACTCACTCTTTTTGCCCCTTCCTCATCTCAGGGACCCTCGGGACCACCAGGCTCAACAGGCCAGAAGGTAACAGGCCTAGTTTTGAAGGGGTGGGTACCAGGGTGGCCCACAGGCCCCACATACGTGAAGAAGGAAGTGTCCAAGGTCTTTCTAAAGGATGGCGACAGTCGGTAATATTGACTGTCCTCCCCATTCCTGTTGTCCTCTTCCATGTCCAAACCCACCATGCCTAGAGGGCCATGCTACATGCTTGTGGAGTGAATGGTCTGGCTGGTTTGGCAATTCTTCCTGTTTGCCCTCCTGTGGAAGTCATTCCATATCAGGAAAGGCAGAGGAGACGGGGGTCTGGAAGGCAGTTGCTTTTCCCCTAGTTGGAGCTGCCCTGCATTTTCCCTTCCACTCTGTTCACCTTGCCTCTTCCTTCCCCAGGGCCAGAAAGGCGAGAAAGGAGATGGAGGCCTCAAAGGATTGCCTGGAAAGCCAGGCCGAGATGTACGGTACTGGGGACCCTCCTGCTAAGCTCCAAGATGCTAGAACCTAATCCAGAGATCCAGCCCCTCCCCTTGGCCAGGGAGGGTGAGGCTGTGCTTCAGGAGGCAGAGCCAGTGTGATACAGAGAAAGCCTAAACCCAGGCCTCTTGACTCCTGGCCAAGACACCCTGCTGACATTTGATGGCCTTGGGGTACCAGGGTGGGGTCTAGCTTGGGAGAAGGGAAGTGAGGGTGGGGCAGGCAGTATTTATTTTCCTGCTACAGAAGGGCAAGTGTCAGGCCTCTGACTGTCCCTACCTCTGCCCTCTTCCTCACAGGGCCGGCCAGGGGAGATCTGTGTCATTGGGCCCAAAGGACAGAAAGTGAGTTACTCTCTGGGCATGGGAATGGGTGGCAGGACTATGTAGCAGCTGTCTCATACCCACTTATTTGTGTACCAGGGAGACCCTGGCTTTGTTGGGCCTGAGGGGCTGGCAGGAGAGCCTGGGCCCCCCGGACCCCCTGGGCTCCCTGGGATAGGAATGCCTGGGACTCCGGTAAGTATTCCCTGGATTCTTTTGCTGTCCTCTTCAAAGACCTTTTTTCTATCTTGGCTGGGGTTGGGGGATAAGACCCCATTCTAGTTGTGACTGGGGGACGGGTTAAGGCAAAACCCCTCACCGTGCTATAGAGAGAAAATTTGCATCATCCTGTTTCTTTCCTCAGGGGGATCCAGGTGGCTCACCAGGCCCTAAGGGAGACAAGGTAAGCACAGTTCAGCGAGCACCAACACAGGCAGGGGAGGGGAACACAATCATGCAGTGACCATGTCACCAGAAGAGGCCAGACACTGGACTGAGGAGGCTCAGCTAGGTCAGGGCTCTGGTGGGGTGTGTCTCCACTCCAGTGTTAGTTGAGGTGCCTTGGCCTAGGTGGGCAGCAAGCAAGTCAGTCTGCCTGCTGTGCTTCCTCTGAGGCCTCCTGAGATCGCCTCCTACCTGTTGTACTAGTGAGCCCTGAGTTTCCTCCTGCTCCTAGACAGGCACCAGGAAGGAAGGGTTTACCTTGCAAATGGACCAAATGGAGACGACATTGGACCTAGAGGGCTGGATGGAGAAGGGGAAAATGGGTGAAGGTCAAATGGGTGGGAACCTTTGAACTTTCTTCTGACTACAGGGCAGTTCCGGGATACCAGGAAAAGAAGGAAAGCCTGTGAGTGAGCAGGGGGCGTGGGAGGGGGTTCTTGCTCACTGTACCCAGTTCTGCTCTTCCAGGGTCTCTAGGGGGAGGGGCTTGGGTCTTCATCCCTCTCTTGGCACATCACTCCCTCTGCCCTGGCACTAATGCCCCTGCTTCTTTGCCAACAGGGGAAGCCAGGGGTGCCAGGGACAAAGGGAGAGAAGGTGAGTCCTAGGTCTGACTGCTCTGGGATGGGGTGGGAACAAGAGTCCCCTGGGCCTGCCTTAGGTAATTAATCCCTTTTTTATTCCTAGAGACAGCATGTGATTAGATCACGAGCCTGGAGATCAGTTAGACCCAGACCCTGCCTCTGCCACCTGTGTGGTTTTTGAATATGAGGGTCAGCTAGCTTATCTCTCAGCCAGTTTCAACATCTGTCAGTAGGACAGGATCATCTCTCCTGGCTTGCTGTGAGGACATAGTTTCAGGGTGTCCGAGGCTCTTGCCCTGAATGGATGAGCCACTGACCAGGAAGCCATTGTAGGGTTCCTTCTGTCCACTTTGATGATGGGGACACTGGGGACACCTGGTATGTGGTATGAGCAGGAGGCTTTCAGCCTTCCTGAGCGTCTCAGTCTTACCCCATTCTCTCATGGTCTCTCCCTTCCACTAGGGAGACCCCTGTGAAGTGTGTCCAACACTTCCTGAAGGGTTCCAGAACTTCCTAGGGCTCCCTGGAAAGCCAGGGCCTAAAGGAGAACCAGGGAATCCTGCTCCAGCCACGGTGAGTGCCTTGGTGGCCACTGAGGAACATTTACAAAACAGACCCTGGGAGTATGATCATAGAGAGGAGTTGGGTAGAGGGACTGGGTACTTCTCTAAGTCACGGAGATTAGGCCTAGGGTAGCTCAGAAGGGGTTTGAATCATAGAGCTAAGGGCTGGCTAGAGTGTCACCCAGGTCTCTATGGTAACTTCCCAGTCCTCTCCAAGAGACTCTAGGATGTCTTTTGGGCAAGCTAGGATGGAGCTAACCCTTACTGTGAGTGAAGCCTAACCCTGGTCTTGGGTGTTGGCTGGAGGTGGTAAGAAGGAGTGGTCAGGGCTGGGTTAGGATCCTGGCCTGGCCTCCCCATCCCATTCCCTCATACCCTTTCTCTTTCAGGAGAGCCTAGGAACTGTTGGGTTGAAAGGTGACCGGGTATGTAAGGAACTTTCCATGGGGGTAGTTTAGCTTGGACTATTTCTCTGTTCATTATATGGGTTGAGGGACCCTGCCTCTGGGGTGCTGGCCTTGAATCCCATGGGAACTCTGACTGTTCAAGAGGCATATGGAATGTCACACTGATGTCCTCATATATGTCTAGAGAATTTGCAGTGTCCCGATATGCCTAGTCTTAGCTTATAAACCATTTTTCCCTGCAGGGAGACCCTGGCATCCAAGGCATGAAAGGAGAGAAGGTAAGAGAACACCCCTACCCATGTCCTGGCTGGCCTCCTGCCCCTATGTCCTGGCTGCCCCTCTGCCTACCCGGGAGATTTCTGATCCCTTTCTTCCTTCTCCAGGGGGGAACCCTGCTCATCCTGCAGCTCAGGTGTAGGGGCCCAGAATGCCCCTCTCCATGTCTTGGCTGGCCTCCTGCCCCTATGTCCTGGCTGCCCCTCTGCCTACCTGGGAGATTTCTGATCCCTTTCTTCCTTCTCCAGGGGGAACCCTGCTCATCCTGCAGTTCAGGTGTAGGGGCCCAGCAACTTGGGCCTGCTACAGGGCTTGATGGAGATTTGGGCTCCCCTGGCTATTCGGTGAGTGGCCTGTCCCTTGGGATACTGGTGGCCATCCTGGCTCTTTGGGTCCCTGAGATTCAGGGAAGGGACTAGAAGGGAGGTCATGAAACAGCCTCCCTCTTGGTCCTTCCCTCCAGCCTTACCCACAGAGCTACCCATCTGTGGCTCCCTCTTAGCACTTATATAGCAGAAGTAATTATATAGCATCCTTTGGGATGTGGAGTTTAGAATCCCAGTTGTTGCTTTCTCTCATGGCTAGACACTGGGATACTAGGAACTTGGGTGTCAGGGGAAGGTGTGTGACTCCATCTTGGTTGTGTTTTCAGGGGAAATTTGGAGTTCTTGGGCCAAGAGGGCTGAAAGGAGAGAAGGTTAGCCCAGGCTGGGTGACAAGCACATCAGCAAGGCAGAGGGAGATGGCCCTGAGTGGCCCTAAGATGGAGCTGTAGAATCACAGTGAAATGCATTCATTGGGGGTTTTCTGAGCAAAGTCGAAGAATTTATTTCCAAGAACCTTCATGTTCTCCAAGAGAATTCCTTAGTGTTGTATTTTTAATTTAATGATAATCTAAAACTATTAAGCACATTCAAGACTACCTTATAGCAAAATAATATTTAATGCTCGTTTTCTTCTTATTATGTGCCAGGCACTGTTCCAAGCCTTGTGCATGCTTTAACTTGTTTTATCATCCCCAGACCTGATGGGGTAGGTTTCTCTACTATTCCCATCTTATGGATAAGGAAAGGGAGGCATAAAAAGACCAAGAGACTTTGCCCAAAGCTTCATGGTTGTTTGGATGCAGAGCTTGGATGTGGGCCCAGGAAGTCTGGCTCCGGAGTGTAATCTCCAGTGCTCAGCCGGTCACTCAGTTGCAATGCCCATATTAACATTTCTGTTTATGATTGTGTTAGAGACAAATGACAGTATTGAACTTCTAATAGATTGTTGCTCAAATCAGGGGTCTGTGAGTGTAGGCGTGCTCAGGTGGGAGAGACACTGAGATATGTGTTCAGACTCATCTCCAGCAGGCAAACTAAATATGGCATTTCTTGAATGGAGTTTTTATAACCCCTGCAGACCCTTGCTTCAACTGCCATTTGGGGCGTGTGTGTGTGTGTGTGTGTGTGTGTGTGTATACGTATGTGTTACTGAGGATTGAACCCAGAACTTGGCACATGTTTAGCAAGCACTCTGTCACGGAGCTATATCCTCTGCATGTAGAGATCTAAGAAGGCCTCTTTGTACTCTTCATTTTGAGACAGAGTCTAACTAAGTTGCCCAGGCTGGCCTTGAATTCACAGTGTATCTCAGACAAGCCTGGAACTTGCAATCCTCCTGCCTCACCCTCCTTAGTAGCTGGGATTAGAGACCTATGTCACTAAGTCTGACGAGCCTTTTCCATATCGACAAATAGCCTATTACCTATTACCCACCTCCCCAAAGCCCAAACTTGATTCCTCCTTTTCTCTCATCGTTCCCCCTTCCATCCTTCCCAGCCACAGGTCATGATGATTCTGACTATAACATCTCCCTGGTTTCCCTGCTTCTCTCCACACACATCACTGGGTTCCCATACTCTCTCACCCGATGATGGCAGCCTCTGGCCTGCCTGTGACCACTGCAACCCTTATCCCTAAGCAGTCAACCTACCTTTGTAGAAAGAACTCCTATGACATTACTTCCCTGCTTACCATCTTTCTGGGACTTGACTTTGTGCCTCAGTCCCATTGGGCCTCCCCCTGGACAGTCTTCCTTTCTAGATTCTTCTGGTCCTCTCTGCTCTGCCTTACCATGATTTAGTCATCTGACCCTCCTTCCATTCTGGAACTTGTCAGATTATATACAGATGGTTCCCAGTAGAAATGTAGAACATTTCCATCCCCACCCTCTTTCACTGCCTGATCTTATTATCTCTCTGATAATCATTGTGGTCCCACTTCTCCAACCACCTATCTGAAATGGGACCCTCTTTTATTCAGTGTCATTACCGTATTTCCTTCATAGCACTCATTATTATTTATGGTTACAAGTTTTTGTCTTTTTGAGACAGGGTCTCCCTGTAGCCCCAGTTGACCTGGAACTCACTATGTAGAACAGGCTGGCCTTGAACTCACAGAGATCCACCTGCCTCTGCCTCCCAAGTGCCAGAATTAAAGGTGCGCACCACCACACCTGGCCCTGAGGTCACTATTTTAAAACTCTGGGGGCTAGAGAGATGGCTCAGTTGGTAAAGTGCTAGCTGTGCAAGCATGAGGGCCTGGATTTGAATCCCCAGCACTCACATAAAAAGCCAGGTGCAGCAGCAGCAGCAGGTCAGCCTAGCTGAACTGATAAGCTCCAGGGTCAGTGAGAGACTCTATCTCAAAAAATTAGGTGCAGAAAGATTGAGGAAGACACCTGATGTTGACCCCTGCCTCTACCAGAATGCATATATACAACATGCTTATATACATGCATATATACAATACACATACACATAAATAAATAAATGAATAAATAAGTAAATAAATAAATGGGGGAAAAAGGCTGAGAATGTAGTTTAATTGGTAGAGTGCTTGCCTAGCGTTCATGAAGCCATAAGTTTATCTCCAGCATTGTATAAACTGGACAAAGTGACACATACCTGAGGCAGAAGTTCAAGGTCATCCTTGACTATGTAGCATAGGGTACATAAGGAGGTACCAAAAATACGTGTGCAAGGCCATGAGGTGTTTTTGTCTGGCTGTTCATGTAGACAGCACCTAGTCCAGTGCTCAGGGCAAACGGCATTCATTGAGCAGTTGTTGAATACATGACTTCATGGGCTCTGTGTTGGGCTAGAGGTGAAGCTGGACTGGGGTTCTGTGATAGGAGGCTGCTTGTAGAAACGTAGTTTCCAGACTGACTGGTCAAGACTCCCTGGAGGACTTGTCCCCTGAGCCTCAGTTTCCCTAGCCAGGAGATGTCCTTGGCACCTCTACCTGGTTCCCCCTTTGACTGTATGTTTTCTGCTTGGCCCTCAGGGTAATTTCGGTGAGGCAGGACAAGCTGGAATTCCGGTAAGGATGTTTCAAGTGGAAGTGGCTTACGGGAGGGTAAGGCAGGAGGAGTTTCCCCTTTCCCCCACTAGGGAGGTGATAGGCCTGGCTGAGCCTGTGCATAGTCCAGACTGGCACAGGGATCATCACAAGTGACTTTTTATGTAGGGGCCACCGGGACCAGTGGGACCAGCAGGCAGCAAAGGGGCAAAGGTGAGTCTGAGTCCCTCCTTACCCTTTTGCTCTAGCTTGCTCTGTTCCAGATCCTGAGCTCCCCACTGCCTGCCATGTAGATTCCAACTCCTTAGCACATCCTTGCTTCCGTCTCTCTTTCTTCCCTGTACTCCCAGTCTCTCCTGAGATAGTCCACACACAGAGATGCTGTGTCAGAATCGACTGCATTCTGCAGCTCCAGACCCTGAACCTTGTCCTCAAGCCCCAACCCCAAGAACCCCTTAACCCAGCATCTTTGCTTGGCAGGGGGAGCCTTGTGAGCCATGTGCAGTCTTGTCTAAGCTTCAGAATGGAGACAGTCACATAGTTCACTTGCCTGGCCCAGCCGGAGATAAGGGGGAGCCTGGTCCTCCAGGCTTTGGCCTGCCAGGGAAACAGGTGAGTTCTGGCACCTCTGGAGATGGTCATGGGCAGGATACAAGAAAAAGGAGCGGTCCTCCCCTGCGTCTCTGGACTCCCTGAGCAGAAGGGCAAAGTGGGGCAATGTGGAGGGATCAATGCCTCTGTGCCCATGTGGCAGGCAGCCCACATGCCTCACACAGGCCTTTATCTTGAGACTGTGGCAGAGCAGGCAAAAGGCACCCACCTCAGACAGACCTGGGTTCTAATCCCAGCTCTACCTTTTATAAGATCTTTGACTTGAGCAAGTCATTTTTGACTCCGTCCTTCTATGTCCTGTCTGTAGAGCTGTGGTAAAACTTAGTCATGATGTCCAGAGCAGCTCATAAGAGGCATTAGAGGAATGACCGTGAAGGCTGTGGTATTATTTATGGTCACTGCTTTAATGGTAATAGCAAACACTGACCCAGCAGACATTGTGGGCCACATGCTGGTTCATATATATTAGCTTGTCTCATTTCCCAAGACCCATATGGTGCAGAAGCCTATACTATTTTATCATTCCCATTTGACAGATAGGGAAACTGAGGCTAGATTGGGGGCTAGATGAATTATCTTGCCCAGGTCATAGAGGCAGCATCTGACTGAACTGTCTTTACCTATGTGGGACTGCTACCTAGCATGAGAGGAGAGGTTATTGTGTCTTATTTTCTGCCACACCCCCTGGGTCTCACATGGTGGGTGCTGGGTACCAGGAGTGTCCACTCTGAGTGAATGGGTACTGAACTGTTTCCTTCTCAGGGCAGAGCTGGAGAACGTGGACTGAAGGGTCAGAAGGTAAGAGAATGTGGATGGGCATGGGTGTGGGTGGGCACGGGTGTGGGTGGGCACCTGGTCTTCTTGGAGACCTCCCTGCCCCTTTTCTTAATTATTTGTGCCATTCTCCACTCATTTCCCAGCCCCCAGCCTGGGAGAGGGACTGAGTGCCCACAGGTCCCAAGGGGGCAACCTGTCCCCAGCTGGGCCGTCCCCCATCTTGCTTGAACTTTACTCCTTACAGGGTGATGCTGGGAATCCTGGAGACCCTGGAATGCCAGGCACCCTAGGGCAGCCGGGACTGTCAGGAGAGCCTGGGGCCCGGGGCCCTGTGGGGCCAAAAGGAGAAAAGGTTGGTGTCTAGGTGGAGTCGGGAGGAGTTTGTGCTAGCAAATAGAAATCAAGGGGATGATTAATGAAGGGACAGACTCCAGGGAGCCTCAAAGAAGGCTGGAAGTACCAGGTTCCTCAGCTCTTCACTGCAGCTTGGAGCATCAGGGACCTATTTTGTGTCTCAGGCTGAGGGAAAGCAAAAGAGGGGTAGAACTCTCAGAGGGAGCAAGGGTTCCCTTTGGGATGCCTCCTGGTCTGGCTACCAGCCCCAGCTCACAGGCTCCTTCCTGGCTGTGCCTGTCTCTGACCAGGGTGATGGCTGCACTTCCTGTCCTAGTCTGCAGGGGGCGTTGACCGATATAGCTGGACTGCCTGGGAAACCAGGCCCCAAAGGAGAGCCAGGTCCTGAAGGTGTGGGCCGGCCTGGGAAACCAGTAAGTTGCATCAATTGGCCCCCTGGTCCTTCTCTGCCTGGGTATTTCCTCCCCCATGCCCCCCTCACTGCTTTCCCCTCTGTGGGTATCTATGGGTTCTCTTGTGCCTTTTAGGGAAAGCCTGGCCTACCAGGAGTTCAAGGACCTCCAGGACTGAAGGGCACACAGGTATGTGTGAAAATGGGGGCCTAGACTGTAGCTCAGGGAGGAGGAGAAGGCCTGGAGTGGGGAATGGAGTCAGGTACAGAGTGGCAAAATGTAGAAGGAAACCAGGCTTCACGGGAGCTGGGGAGAAGGTGGAGGAGGGGCTGGGAATCTCCAGGCAGGGACTGTCCTTCTGCCTCTTCAGGGGGAGCCAGGACCTCCAGGAACGGGCGCTGAAGGGCCCCAGGTGAGTATCTTGCCTCATCTTTAACTTTCTATCCTTTCCCAACACATTAAAGGCTGCCAGCTCCCGTTCATCTCCCAAACCCCAGGGCCTTTCCTGTCCCTGAATATTAAGGGCACAGCTCTGTGACCAGGGGTCTCACACACACAGCAGCCCTGTCTGCTGTTGCTTCTGTCCTGGATTTGGTTTTGACCCCCGCTACTCTAACCATTAGTGTCTCTTTGGGAAACTCCCCAGAGTTTGGGCTGGCAGACACCCTATCCCAGACCAGATCTGCTAGTGATATGGGTCCAAGGGGCAGGTAGTTTGGGCCACTGTGCCTCAGACTGACCCTTCTGACTTTCAGGGTGAGCCTGGAGTCCAGGGTTTTCCTGGCATTCAGGTAGGTCTGCCTTGGGCCTAGAGGTGGCTTACAGTGGAAGGGACCATTCTAAGCTAAGGATACCTAACCCTGCTTCCTTCCATCTGTAGGGACTTCCGGGACCTCAGGGACCACCTGGCTCCCCTGGAGAAAAAGGTGCCCAGGTGAGCCTCTTCCTCTGCAGGTATTGGGACTGCAGATACAAGGATCCCACGGCTGAGTAACACTCATCAGACACTCATCAATAACACTCATCAGAGGGCTGCCTGGGACCTGATCATGTACATCTCACTGCTAGATTATGCTCACTTCAAATCCTACCCCAGCAACCTCTCTGTCTTTCCCTCAGGGACCACCAGGCTCAAAAGGAGACACAGGACCTATGGGACCTCCTGGTGCTAGTGTCTCTGGGCCTCCGGTAAGAATTTTTTTTTTTTTTCTGTGCATGGTTAGACACTGCTGCTGGGAAGAGGTCATGGAACTGACCCTGACTGTCCCAGTAGCCAGTGATAGGAGGAGAGAAGCCTCCTTGACCAGCCTCAGGGAAAGAGTGATACCAATATTACCACCATACTTTTCTTTCCTTTGTGTGTGTGTGTGTGTGTATGTGTGTGTGTGTGTGTGTGTGTGTGAGAGAGAGAGAGAGAGAGAGAGAGAGAGAGAGAGAGAGAGAGAGAGA